TTCTTTCGAAGCTTTGAATATTCGAAGTAGATGAAAAGTAACAGCCCTAGTATAAACGGAATTATTTAGATAATGAGTTCTTTTAAAATATGTTTTAATGTAGTCCAGTGACGTAGCAAAAGAACAGGCCTGCAAATCAATTGTTTTATAATATTTAATTTAAATTTAAATTGCATTTAATATTATATGTTATAATAATGAGAAATATAGGCTAAATAAAGTAACCTTATCAATAAAAACGAGTTCTACACGTTTTTCTTGTGTTTTGTTCTTTTTTCTACTGTCAATCAAATCAAGTCAATCACGTCACACTTGGTAGAACGTAACGCACGTAGAAAAGCCCTGAAAAATATATATCGCGATAATTAACCAAATCCGCTAATATAATAAGCTAACATAATAAGTTAATATAATTATTAGCTAATAAAGCTAACATAATAAGCTATTATATTAGCACTAATAATTTATTGTTAATATTCTACGCAATAAGTTATTCTAGACAATTAAACAAAATTTTTATTTGTATCAATATGATTAAATTGCTTGTCAACATAATCGGTAAGATTACGTATTCCAAATTTAGTTTAGAGCTTGTATTTCAAGATAGTCGAACATTTGGCCCCAACTTTTTTGAACTGGAAATTGTACAGAAAAATAAAGATATCGACTTCTTCCTGGGCTCATCTTAAAGATGAATTATGTGACTATTTTTAAAAAAATCGTGATTTTATTTAAAAATTGCTGATTTAATATGGCCAATCAAAACATCATTTTTTTGGAAAATTAATTTTTTTTAAATTGTTAAAATTTGTTTAATTAAAATGTTACTTGGTATAAATATTATTGGAAGATGTATGGGGTTTAATACGCAGCGCGCGCGAGGCGCGCGCCTGTTATGTACTAGTAAAAAAGACATGGCATTTTTTTTATTGTCATTCTTTCTATAGTCATTACTGAACCGTTATTGAATCTAAAGTTGCATGCATTACTCAAAAGATTTATAATGTGACCGCAGAAGGCGCTTTCGAATTTAAAAGAAATAATGATTTTACAAATTTCCTACAATATTATACTAACGTAATGATCAGAATCTAGATCTTGGCGTTGTTTTCTCCATTTCAAACTGCTGCGACAATGTCACAAGAAGCAACTCCGCTAGTCTATTAAAATGCCATTTCTGTTAACACATCGGCTGAAAGTTACTTGGAGTGGGGAAAATGAGAAACGCCAAAAACCTGAATTTGGTCATCACGTCAGTACTATTAATAACGTATTCGCCGGTCAGTGGTACAATGTGTTCCGGGTCCTCCGAAAAACAAATAAAGTAAGTTTGCAATCTAAGATCAATCTTATGAAATTATCAAGGAATATTCATTGCTTGAAAATATAAATTATGCAGCAAATGATATTTTTCAAAAAATATTATCTCAGATACGTATCTAACAATTAAGAAATAGAAGAGAGTTGTCAAATGCATACCGGTCCTATAAATCGTACTTCTTCAAATTTTATAGTTACACTTAATAGAAACAATATTTAGTAACAAAAATATGAAGTAAATAAGAAATGTGTAAATAAGATAGATAAAAAATTAAAAGGTTACATCTTGTTTTGTGTATGCTATCCATACTTAAAAAAATCAGATATAATTGATGTAAATTTTTGATCAATTTATATAGTTGATACTAATGTAACCATGCAATTTGTAATTGAATTGTTATTTTTTTCTAAAAGAAAGTTTATTATAGCATTATATTTTACATTTATTGTATATACATATTTGCAATTACTATAAAAATTATATCAATATTTTTATCATCTCTATCAAGTTTCCTAAATCGTAGCAAACCTAACCAGTATAAGAGCTCTTATATCGTATTGGTACAAATTAGAAACACTAATGCGTATCTTTATCTTTAGATCACATGACATAATTACCATTATTTATTTTAACACGATCGAAGCTGTTCTGTAGCAAATCTGTAGAAGAAAACACTCTCATTGAGTTACGCAAGCAAAACAGCTTTTGTTTGATAAATTACAAATAAAGTAGGTATTAATCCATGATTTTTTTTATTGATCTTGTGTTTTTATTATTTTTATTCATAAATTCAATAGTTTAAAAGGTGATACTGTTAATAAAACTCACAGGTACGATTTAGGCGACCGGTTTATTGAACCGTGCTTTCTGCAAGCACATTACAGAAAAGCTTATAATAACACATTAATTTGCTGTTAGCGAAAGGTTTAATATGTAGATCGGAAGAGCACAC